GAGGTTCAGAGCATCTATATCTTGGGAATCTTCCGAAACCCTTTCTATCCAAAGGATGTGCGAACTGCGACTGTATTCCTAGGGAAGCAAGCCAAGCTCCTGAAGGCCGGTGTTGTCAGAAGGATTTTGCTAACTGTAGGTATGAAGATAAATTCCAGCAACCTCGTATTAAAACCATATCTCCAAAGTATTCATAAATATGATGCTCTTATACTGTATAGAGTAAGTTTATTGTTAATTGCTTCCTTGTACTAATGAAAACTCTTACTTTCCAAAATAAAGTATGGGTAGGATAAGTTACTTAGCCTTGACTCAAGTTGCTGTTCTTTGTTTTCAGTGTCACCTTTTGCCCTGATAGCGTTTCTTTCCTTGGACGATTCCTTGCAGAGGCCCCACTCTGTGTCCGTCTCCCTTGGATTCACGAGAGCCTTCCGCACGGTAATGCTCACGCGTCCCTAGCGATACTCCAGTTGCTGAGTGTCGTTCTGATTTCTGTCTAGCTCTCGCAGTTTGCTCAGTCTGTCGTATCCTAGGGGATAAAAGTAGGTCATGTGTCTGCTGCAGGTGTGGCAGAACACGGAGAACGCTGTGCTGGAGGCAGCCGTTGTATCGGCAGCTCACTTACTGATCTCCAGCGCGGACTTATGGTGGAACAGGAGCCTGAACACAGGAATGAGACTCTTACTGGTAAGCTTATCTCAGCAGCTTGATGGAGCGATATTCCCGTAGCCCAGAACTCACCCGTTCAAGTGCATTCCTCAGTGGCAGAGAGTGTGAGCTTTGTAGCCGTTGCCACAACCTAGGCCTGTTTTCCACATCCCCAAAAGCAGCCTCACATATGTTAGAGGTCCTTCGCTGCTCCCACTTTCCATCTCCCTTATAATTTTTCCAGACCCAGCAAACACTTCCCTATTTTCTGTGTTGAAAGATTTGCCCCTACTGGGGGCCAGGGAGGTGGCTCAGTGAACTAAGCGCTTCCCTGGCAAGCGCAAGGGCCTGAGTTCAATCCCCATTTCTGCTACAAAAAAAAAAAAAAAAAAGATTTGTCCCTTCTGGACATTTCACCTAAATAGATTAGCAAATAAGTGGTCTTTTGTTTTCTGCATTCTTTCACTTACGTGTTCATATGTTAATTCATGTCATAGCAACTATTAGGTTTTTTTGTTTTGTTTTTTTGTTTGTTTGTTTTTTGCGGAACCAGGGATTGATCTCAGGCCCTTGCGCTTGCCAGGGAAGCACTTATTCCACTGAGCCATCTCCCCGGCCCCTAGTTTTGTTTTTTGTCTTAGGGATCAAACTCAGAACCTTGTGCCTGTCAGGCAGCCGCATAAGCCACTGTGCTATCTTCCTGGCCCTTGCATATATCAGTTTTTGATTCTTTTTATTGTCAAAATATCCCAGTGTGTAGATATTCCATCCTTAATTGATTTATTTAGATGATGGACATTAAAGTTGTGTTCCCTTTTCATTGTTAAGAGTATTGCTGTTGGGGCTGGGAAGATGGCTCAGTAGAATAAGCACTTGCCTGCCAAGCACCAGGGCCTGAGTTCAATCCCCAGTTCCTCCAAAAAAAAAAAAAAAAAAAAAAAGAGGATTGCTGTGAATATTTATGTGCATGTTTTTGTAAGCATATGTGTTTTTATTTCCCTTGAGTATTTCTATATCTAACTCTTTAGAGGTACTACAAAACTGTAGCCAACACCTTAGCGTTTTATATTCCTATTAACGTTGTATGTAATCAGCATTCCAGTTGCTCCATATTTTCATCAGTACTTGGTAGTACTTTTTTCATTCTTGTCATACTGATAGGTATGAGCTATTACATTTTGATTTGCTTTTCTCTGATTGCTAATGATGTATTTTTTATGCATTTCCTGGCCATTCACATTAATTTTTTAAAGAAATGTCTACTGAAATCCTTTACATTTATTTGAAATGGGTTTCTTTTTATTAAGGTGAAAGAATGTAATTCTAGAGACAAGTCTTTTGAGAGACTCTTAACAGTATGCAAACATCATCTCTTATTCTGTAAGGTTTTTTATTTTCTAGAATATGTCCATTGGAGAACAAAAATTTCTAATTTTAATTTCTCATTTTTTCTTTTATTGGTTCTGTTTTGGCATCTTAAAAAACATTCCCTTAAGGAGCATGAAGGTTTACCTGTTTCCCTCAGAGGGTCTGTAACTTGGACTTTGCGTGTGGACCTGTGATCTCCTTTGACTCGCCTTATCTATGATGCGAGGCAGGATTGCAGATTTGTTCTTTGGTACATGGGCACAGCGTTGTCCTCTTACTGAAAAGACTCTCCCACCCACAGTGACATTTCTTGCCACTGTGGTTCAAAACTGAAGTTAGGGTTCACTTCTAGAACACTTAAAGAGTTCTTTCTAGTCAGCTGCATGCCTGTTTCTGTGCCAGCATCACGCGGTCTTCATTATCTATAGCAGCCTGGGGGAGCTTTTGAAGCTGGGAAGTGTGAGTTCTCCCATTCTGTCCTCCTTCCTTTTCAAGACTGTGTGGCTCATCCCGAGACCTTTGCATTGCCACATAAGTAGGTGGCACCTTGTATTTATTGGTACTTGCTTCTGGAGATGTGACACACACCAGACTATTTTGGCTTGGAAGAATCCGAGTCAGGAGACAGTCACCCCTGACAGGTTCTAACTTGTGTCAAGTATCAAACAAATGACAAGTCTGGGTCAAACTTTTTGTCCTAGAGTATATCAAATACCAATTTCAAGATGCTTCTAAGCAGTTGAGTACCAAAGTATCACTGAATGTCTGCTATTGGGGATGCTTGCAATTAGACCATAATCTCCTGCCCAGATTAGGGCAAAGGCCAGGAAAGAAAGAAAAAAGAATTGCAAAAGACAGCGTTCTGGGATGGTAGATGTTCTCCGGAATCCTCAGCTAGCCACCACTGTATGAGCCAGTGCAGGGGAGGGGGTAAGGTGCTTTCCTGGAGCCCCTTAGAAGTGGTGGTAAAACGGGCAAGTTTAAATCATAGAGGAAACTAGCTCAGATCCATGCTCACACCTACATGCTAATTTCATTGACTGAGGAGGATTTCCCCACCCCAAAACCAACCTACAAGTTAGGCAGAGTAGGGGAGCATAGGACAGGTACTATGTCAATTTATAAATCTTGGTCCGCAACACTCAGCTTGTAAAGTTATGCAAAAAGCCTTTGAAACTTTGAAAGGAAATGCCTTGAAGCTGTAGGAATACAAGTTGAGGAATATTGGCATCTTAAAAATAATTGGGGCTGGTGAGATGGCTCAGTGGTCTAAAGCACCCACTTAGAACAAGCTCAGCAAAGCACAGGGACCGCAGTTCAATCCCCCAGCACCACATGCCAGCCAGCCCCGCCCCCTGGTGGGCTGAGCTGGCCACACACACACACACACACACACACACACATAAATAAATAAATAAATAATAATAATAATAATAATAATTGCTCCACTTAAGAACATGAAATGTTCATGTTCCAGGAGATGAAGATCCACTTCTTTAGATCTTCAGTTGATTTTAGTCATGTTTCGTAGCTCTCAGTGTAAAAGTCTTATACCTCTTCTGTTTTACCCTAAATATGTTATTCTTTGATGATATTATAAATGAAATTTATAATATATTTATAATGATATTTCATCCTTTGGCTTTTTGATGTGCTATGGGCTAGAACTGACTTTGTATATTAATCTTTATGCATCCTAAACTTAGCCACGCCTCCTTATTCTAATGTATTTCATTGCATTAAGATATTCTGCATGTGAGATGAGATCACCTGCCCATAGACATAGCTTTACTTCTTCACTTGTAATTTGGACTTGTTTTTCTTACTTAATTATGATGACTACAGCTCTAGTATATTGCTGAATAGATGTTAGAGTGGATGTTACAAGAAGAAAGTGTTCAGTGTTATTCCCTGAAATGTGTTATTATTCATTTACCCTTAAATATGATAGCTAAAGATTTTTTTAGATGTGCGTTATGTGGTTGGGCAATTTTCCTTCAATTACTGAGTGTTTTTACCATGAAACTGATTAGATTTTATTGAATGATTTTCAGTGTCTTTTGACATGGTGATCTTGTTTTGGTCTTTTAGTCTGTTAACATGCTATAGTGTGTTGATTGAATTTTGGTGGTTGAACCTGCTTTGCATTTCTAGAATAAATATCATTTGGTCATGTTGTATAACCTTTTTCATATGTTACAGAATTCAATTGGCTTGTATTTTGTCTATTGTACAGATAATCATAACAATGTATGTGTGGGTATGCATATAGGTATATGTGTGTCTGCCTGTTGTTCTTTTTTTTTATTATTTTACTCTCTGGCTTAGGTATCAGGACCACATAAAATCAGTTAGAAGTGTTCTTTACACTTTGTAATATGTATTCCTAAGGTGATGTGTGTTAGTGTATGTGTGTGTGTGCACATGTGTGTGTTTGGCATTCTATTTGTGGTATTTTCTGCTTTACAGTCATGACAACATAAATTGAGTTAGGAAGTATTCCTTAATGTTTATTTTCTGGAAGAGCTAGTGATAAACTGGTATTTATTCTGAAATGTTTTGGAGTATTCAGCGTATGCTGTAAATGCTTTGCAAGATGTAATATTTTATAGTATGGAAGCCATCTCATACTCAGCTTTGTCTACGAGGTTGTTTTAGGGAGGTGTTGAGACAGGGCTTCACTCTATGGCCCAGGCTGGGCTCACACTCACTGCAGTCCTCCTGCCTCAGTCTCTGAAGTTCTGGAATTACCATCTGTGTGACTTTTTAAATTAATAATTCATTCTCTTATAATTGATCTGTTCAGCTTTCCACCTTATTCTTGAGCCCCATTCAGTAATTATTTCTTTCTAGGAAGTTGTCAGTTTCACCTAAGTTATGCAGTTTGTTGGCAAATAATTGTTCATCCGTAAGGTAAAGGCAGTCCTGTGTCATTTCTTTCTAGTGTTACCTTTAAAACAAAAAGGACAAGGTGTATACAATATAGTCTCATTTCTTAATTTTGAGGATGTAGAAGGCTATAATGAAGAAGTACGTATCCATTAGGCATAGTAGTACATATCTATAATCCTAGCATTCTGGGAGGCTGAGGTGGAAGGATCACAGGATCAACTGTTTCTGAGCAACTGAGTGACTTAGTGAGAAAATAGGGACTGGGGAAGTATGTGAGTGTGAAGGCCTTGGGTTCTTCCAGTACTGCAGAAAACAAACAAAAAACCCACAAAACAAAAAGAAAGAAAGAAAATCACAGGGATATTTCCTCAAAAATATTTAGGTAATAATAAAATTATTTGAGTTTCCTTATTTGATTTTGAAAATTCATGAAAAGCATTTACGTAACAGTCATTGTTATGTCTCTGTAGGTTGGTTTCATACGTGACCGTCTGATTCAGTTCATCTCTAAGTTGCAGTTTGCTCTGACTGTACTTTTGGCGTCATGGATGGAGAAAAAACAGCATCGAGCAACAACTGCCACGTTATGCACACTCAATGTTACCTTCTTTCCATTGGTGTTGGGCATCATAGCTCTTTCTACACTGCTGTCCGCTCCCTTGCTCCCCCTCTTCACCCTTCCTGTGTTCCTGGTGGGCTTTCCCAGACCTACCCAGAGCTGGCCAGGTGCTGTGGGCACCTCGGCATGTGTGTGCGCGGACACCATGTACTATGAGCAGATGGCACCCAGGTTGACTGCTGGGCTTCAGACTGCAATGGCAGCCGGAAGTTTCGGTAAGACAGCAGGCTATGCTTCAGAGGTCCTTATGAATGCGGAGTGCAAAAGCTGAGCACAGAGATAAGCAGTGTGTGCTCCAATCAGGCAACAAGGCCCAGTAGGTTGATGTGTAAGCAGAGAGATTGTATCTGATATAGAACAGTATCTCTTCTGCCTTTTTTGAGATAAATAAGGGTATAAAATAAAAATACAGGGCTGGTGAGATGGCTCAGTGGTCTAAAGCACCTACTTAGAACAAGCTTAGCAAAGCCCAGGGACGGTGGTTCAATCCCCCAGCACCACATGCCAGCTGAGCTGGCCACACACACACACACACACACAAATAAATAAATAATTTTTAAAAAATAAAAATACATTGGGAAAGTTTCATTAAGGTGATTAAAACATACTTAATTTTTTTTTCTATTTATATTCAGGCTACAGCAGCCTAAGCCAGCCCCCCACTGAAAAAATCCTTATATTCAGGTTACAAGTACATCATTAAAACATAAAACCAACACCTCCCATGGTTTCTCTGAACTTATAATGAGCTCATTTGAAGTAGGTACAGTGGTTTAGATCTATAAAGAGGAAAAAAAAAAA